GAGCTTCAGCTTCTCTGTGTTATGCCCTGAAGTTTTTGAAGTTGTTACCACCTAAATAATAATTGCAGAACTATAACTTTTAAAGCAAAATTGACTCTAACAACTTACATAATTTAGTTAATTATTACTGATAGTTATGTTAATAAATACTCTTGGATAGGTTAGAAAGGGAATTTTTTACCGAATAAAATAAGCCTAGCATATTAATAATGCCTATTTTATTTTATTTTTATTTTTAATTTTTTTATTTTTTCCTTTTTTTGGTTTTTTTTCATGACCGGTAATGGGATCGCAACCCTCAGTGTCGCGCCCGTACCGCCACCGGCAACGGAATTGCAACCCTCGGTGTCGTGTCTGCACTGCGCTCAACCAGTGAGCGGACCGGTCTATATATGGGATCCGAACCCTCAGCGGGAGCGCCGCCTGTGCGCTCTACTGAGTGCGCCACTGGGCCGGCCCAATAATGCCTATTTTAAATATTTTCTAAAGTGTAAAATTCCAGGACAGGTGTTCTCTTAGCTGTTTTTTGCTTTACTAAAGATTAAACAATGAGGCTGGCTGGTTAGCTCAGTTGGTTAGAGTGCTGCCTTATAACACCAAGGTCACAGGTTCGGATCCCCATACTGACCAGCTACCAAAGAATAAAATAAAGATTATAAAAATAATGAGTGTTTGATTCATGGCTCCATCAAACTGCTGCCATTTATTTTATTAGCTCCTTCTCTTTTAGACCTTGGACTTCTTCTGTATGGTTATGAGATGGAATCACAGGGCTACTTGGAGACCATTCTTCTGGTCTTTGGGAAGTTGATGGAAATAGACCAATAACCATAAGGATTAGAGGCACTTCTTGTCTTTATTTTCTAGCTTCACTCTGATTTAGAGGAAAGTTTCTTCCTGCTTATGATTTTTATATTTTAACCAGATGGATTTTTTTATAATAAAATACCAGAGATGTTAACATGTTATTTAAGGCTTTAAATACTATGCCCTCAAATTGGTGACCAGTTTTTGGGAATATGATGCTTTGAATGTTGTTTTACATTCTTTTCATGGTTATGAAGTAATGTTCAATGTTAATTTTTTTTCTTTTCAAATTATTTTTCTTAACTGACCCATGATAATTGTATATATTTATGGAGTACAATATGATATTTTGGATACATTCATACTGTTTGCAATGATCATATCAGGGCACTAAGTATATCCATCACCTCAAACATTTGTCACCTCTTTGTGTTGGGAACATTCAACATCATCTCCACTAGCTACTCAAAGGTACATAGTACTTTGTTGTTGACAGTGTTAATTTTTTTTATATACAAAGAGTTTTATCTGAAAGTGTGCTTATCACAAAATATTCTATTTTCAGATATTTAGTCTTGGATATTGCAGATAATCCAGTTGAAAATATAATACGTTTTTTCCCTATGGTAGGTGTCAATATTTTCATATCATTTAAAACTTATTTATGATTTGACCTCTTAATTGGAGCTCTAAATCTTACTACTTTTACTTTCTTATTACTGGAAATTGTGGGATTCTGTTTTAAAGAAAATTAATTATTGGTAGAAACTATTTTTTATGATCCAGAAATTCTAGATATCACACTGAATTAAATTCAAATTCAGCTCCATACAATTTTTTCCCTGTATAACTTTTTTAACTTGTAATAGTTGTATTTGTAGCATCTTGGAATCTCTTGAATTAAGATAATTTTTATTCATATTAATTAGCAGGAAATTGTTTTAAATAGACTTTATATTCACCATATGTATTTATTTTATACTTAGGATAATCCATGTTTTATTATTAATAACATATTGTCTTTTGCCTTCAGACTAAAGAATTTATTGATGGGAGCTTACAAACTGGAGGTAAATAATATTTCTTTTACTTAGCTAATATTCATTTTTAGGAGATTATTTGTTACAGTTAGTTTTTTAGTTGGTATTTGCCTTAAATGCAAGATATGGAAGTTCTAATTATATGTAATAGACATTGTATTTTTTCAACTACTTGTTTCATTTGGATAGACTTCCTTAAATATCCCTGTAAGCTATTTTCAGACTCTGTGAGCTTTAAATTTCTTTTGTCTAAAAGTCTATCATATTCTATAAACAGCAAATATAAATAATTGATAAACATTTGGACATTAATAAATATCCAAGTGGTATATATATGATAAAATGTTTAGGGAAAGATTTATTTTACTATGGTATAATATGTGATTTCAATATAGTTCAGCTGCTGGCTCAGGTGTTTTCTGTCAGAATAACCATTTCCTGTTTTTTTCAGGAAAAGTTCTTGTCCATGGAAATGCAGGCATCTCCAGAAGGTATGAAGTTAGAGATTATCTTTCTTTCCCTAATATTTAATTAATGAGTTGTGTTTTTTGTTTTTTTCTAAATTTTTTTTCCCCCTCTTTAGTGCTGCCTTTGTTATTGCATATATTATGGAAACATTTGGAATGAAGTACAGGTAAGAAAGTAACTCTAAAACTTAGCCACAATTTAATTTCTGATTAAAAGAAACTTAATAGAGATGGTTTGGGAGTTTAAAGTTATTATTCTAATTTTTTCCTGTAGTCATGTTTAATTAGGCAGGCCCTTATATCCTATGGTTAGTCTCTCAAGGGTAACGTTATCTAGATTTATCTACCAACGGTAATAGTATAGATGGAATAACCCATGGAAAACTGCTTGCCTACCACTAGGGAATTGGCTAGTCTGAGTTTTAAAACTCTTAGACACAAATGTTAGTGCTTGCTATGTTTAAAAGGCTAATTTATTATGTTTTCCTTTAATTATAGCTGAATGAAAAATTACCTAGCAATTGTTTGTCACATCTATTCACAATTCAGGGTAGTCTTTCGTATCAACAATCATTTTTTCCAAGCATACTACATAGATTGCAGGGGGGTGGGGGGTACACTCATGAACTTCTTTTCCCAAAATGAAGCAAAAACATGGCCAGTGTATAGTATTTCCTTTCTTAGTTTGTCTGGTTGTATAGGTTAGAAATAGTGTAGTAATCATAGACACCTCTGTTTCACTCCCCATTTGTGTTTAAATTATGATGAAAAAATTTGCTTAAAGGGGTATTATACAAATGCTTTGTTTATTTAATTGAAAAAGATTTAACATGCATTGAGGGACATCGTATTTTATGCATTCTCTTTATTATTTGGAATCTTGTCAGTAAAAATGTTAATAGTGAAAATAACTTCTATTTTTTGGGTCTCTGCTGTGTGCCCAGTACTATTCTAGGCACTTTTATCTCATTTAAGCCTCACAACAACCCAAGGAAGTAGATATACTTCTCACTTAATCAGTGATAATATTTTTTGAGCATGTACTATATGACAGATATATGCACCGAGTGCTTTACACTTATTATCTCCCATCTTCGCAGTAGTTTTCCAAGATAGGTATTACTGTAATCATCATTTTACCAAAGAGCAGTTTAGCAAGTTATAGGATGTATAGCTGGTGAGCAGAGGGATGGTGTTATTTAGTCTGACTATGCTTTTTCCACTACAACTCACTACCCCTCTGTGGCGTATGATTATGATTTCCTATAAATTCTTATTTTGGGTAAACTCTGGAAAACTTGAAATTAATTCATGAAATAATTCCATTGCATTAATTTTCTTTTTCTGTTTTCAGAGATGCGTTTGCTTATGTTCAAGAAAGAAGATTTTGTATTAATCCCAATGCTGGATTTGTCCATCAACTTCAGGTAAATTCTCTTCCGTTTTAAAGGCAATCAAAAAGTAAGATAGTTAAAATCTTTTGTCAGTGTAACATAGGTGGAGAATTTTTGTATATACTTAAAATTGCCATAATCTAAATTGATTCTTTTTTCAAGTTTACATCTCTATTTAAAAGCTGCCTGTATCAAGAAAAAAGGGTTAAAGGCACATTGTTAAATCTAAGGTTAGATAATTGATGTTAGACATTTCTGGTTTTTTTCTCTATGTTGATTACACACAGAGCATAAGAGAATTTTGATTTTAAGTATACTAAATGTAACAGCATTTTCTATTCTGTATGTTTTATCTTTCCCATGTTGTTTAAATTTTGTTGATACCTGGCAGATGCACTGAAAAAGTCAACAATATAAACCTGTGAATTATCTGATTAGACCAGGTTATCCAGTTTTTTTCCAGAGGGAAAATCATATGCTGAAGAATGTAGTCTGGCTAATTCCATCCAGTTATGCAGGAATAAACCTCACATTGAGGCATCAAGAGCATTACAAAATGGGTTGTTTCAAAAGAGAAATAGTGGTATCTCTGCAGCCTGTTTATGTAAGATGTTTCTTTCTATACCTTCTTTATATTATAGATTACAAAATTAGTTTTATAAATTCCTTTGCCTTTTACCATATTATGTAAAAACACTTTTAAAACTAATTTTTGTATTTGAAAGAGTAACATATGCTCATGGTTAAAAAATTAAAATTCAAAAACAATGTCAAGGGGTCAGATCCCTGTACCAGTTGGCAGCCAAAAAAAAAAAAAAGTAAAATTCAGCAATGCCTAAGGAGAATAACAATGTAAAGTAAGTTTTCTAATAGCATATCTTGAAGGTCATTCTACAACAACACATATAGCTCTACATGCTTGATATTTTTGTAAAATATATGCATCACAATTTTATATGATCAGTTTCTTATTCATGGACCTTTAGATTGTTTCTAGTCTTTCCTGATTATAAACGATAATGGAAAGATATGTTGATAGGTACATACATATGTTGATAGATGTTACCAAATTGTCTCTAAAAAGCATGAAACAATGTCAGCTCATACCACCAGGAAGTAAGGAGTGTCTGTTCTCACAAACCTAGTCAACACCAATAGGTAAAAGTGTCTTATCAAATTTTTTGATCATTGTCATCATGGTGGTAAAAGTGGCAATTCCTTATGGTTTTAATTTGCTTCCCTTTGATTGAATGAATTTGGATCTCTTCTTCCATGTTTGGGTTATTCGTATTTATTTTTCTGTGAGCTGATTGTTAATGTTCTTTGCCCATTTTTCTATCAGGTTGTTGGTCTTTTTCTCACTGGTTTGAAAGAGCTCTTTGTATATTAAGGAAATCTATCTTTAGCCCATTGATGTGAAATGCTATTTTTATTATATACCAAAATCTGATATATTTGGGGGTCTCTTTCTGGAGAAAAAATTCTGTTCCTTTGATCTCTATTGCTGCACGTGTATCAGTTTTAAATAATGTAATTTTATAGAAATAATTTATGACATGGCTCAAGATCCCTTCATTAATTTTCTTTCTAGAATTTTCTTGTTGCATTCTTAAACATTTATTTTTTTGGTGTGGAGTCCTTATAGGCATTTTTAATAATATTGTTTCTAACTTCCTAGTTCAGAAAGAATTGACACCTCTAAATTTTTAGTCTTCTCTGAGATTACATTCCATTTATTCAAGTCAACATCTGTGTTTTAGAGTTTTGAGATTTTCTTTGTATAAAACGTAAGCATTTTTTATGAAATTTATTCTCATTATCAATAAAAATTTTTTCTTTTAGTATTTAATTTTTCTAATTGGTTATTTGTATATAGGAAAGCTGTTGATTTTTATTAAATTTTCAGTTACAAACTTACTAAGCTCTTACTGATTCTAAAAAGTTTTCCAATTGATTATTCTAGCTTTTCATCTCACCTTCAACCACGGTAATTTTGCACCTTTCTAATTTAATTTTTAACTCTTTTTCAATTTGGTTTTTCATTGTATCATGATAATAATAATAAGTAATAATAGTGATAGTGCTTATATTTCATTTATTCTTGATTTAAAAAAATTTTTTTTCTAAACTTTGGTTTATTTTATGGCAATTACCTTGATTAGAGAAGTAAATAACACACTTAAAAACCTTCTGAGTGCCCAAGAATGCCAGTGTATTTACAAACACATGGAGTGGCAAGACCTGAAGTCTGGGACTTCGAGGCTAGGATTCTACCCCGGACCCTAACCCAAGCCCTGAGCCAGGCTTGGACACTGATGCCAGCCACCAGGACTGTACCACCAGCCACAGTGTGGGCTCAGGGAGCATCAGGCAGCCTTCAGGCTCTGCTCAGTGTGCTTGGGGGAAAACTCTCGAGCTGACCTGTATCCCCACCTCCCCTCCAGGGCACTCCCCAAACCCCACAGGTCAGTTCAGAGGGGCCTCTGGGAAACACCAAAGGTCAAGGGACAGTGTGGGGGACACAGGGCTGGGACAGAGGTCAGAATGACACAGCTTGCTCAGATTAGAACAGAGACATTTGCGTGTGCACGCATGCACACTCACACAGTACCTTCACAGAAGAATTGTAAGGGAGGAGATATTTTTTTCTGTGAGTTTGTCTTCTAAGTGTTCATGTCTGTGGTGTTACTTTTTGCTATTATTTTTTGTTTCTTTGACAGTGATACAAACTGAGGTAAATATCTGGGCCAATACCTCTCCTAAGCAGCAAAGACTTATTCTTCATTTTAATGTTAATGCTCCTAGTATTGCAGTGTTAGTATCTATCTGTTCTTCTGTTAAGAGTTTTTATCCATAATAGATGTTGATTTTTAGCTTTTTTTAAAAAAAGTGTTTGTGGAAAGACTATAGTTCTACTTTTTTGAACCATTAACATGGTGAATTAAATTACTGGATCACATGATATTAGATTTCCTAATATTGAATGATTATTTGGGTCCAGAAATGGATCCCACTTTGTTCTCTTAATGTGTTGCTGGACTGTATTTGCTAATATTTTTTTCAGGATTTTGGGATCAGTTGAATAAGCAATACTGGTTCGTAATTTTTTATTCTGTAGTGCTCTTTCTGGTTTTGGTGTCTCTCATAGTGTTCTTGTTTTTAAAAATGGAAGCTTTTCTTTTCTCTTTGTGCTCTGCAACAATTTAAATTAGATTGGAGTTGTCCGTTTCTTGATGCTTTGCTTTGGTACATGTCACCTGTGATATCACCTGACTTTGATGTTTTATATAATTCAGTTATTTGTTATTTCATTCATTCATATATTTTGAGTGGGCCAATTCTTGGACAGCCTTCTTCATTTGGTAGATTGGTTTGATTTTCTGATACTTGTCAGGTCACTTTGGATGGTTTTATAATCTCCCACATAATCATTTATTTCATATGAATTCTACTTGGAATTAAGGAAAATAATGTTGTATTTTATCATCTTCTGGTTCTAAGGTTATTTTTCTGTTTTTGTTTCTAATTTTGTGTGCTTTCTTCTCTTTTTTTCTTTCATCTGGTCAGTCTATCATTTTTCTGTATTTTAATTTCTGCTTGCTTCTTACTTTTCTT